ATATCGCCAAAGCTGTTCATTGTTGCACTACAATGGATATAGATGTAGCTCGATAGGGACGAGAAGAGTATACGTATTGTAAAAAAAACTATTAAACCTTCATTATGGATGGATGACATCGCTATCCTTTCGAGGAGTAGCATCAAAGCAGATGCGATCGTTGATGAACTCAACAATGCAGGAAGAATGATTGGATTACGCATCGTAGAACAAAGACCCAGCTGATGAAGAATCTACGGTGCGAATGTGAACAATTTGAATAGTATAATTCTTTGGTTACAGAGAACACTTAGAACGTGTACCCTGAACGTTCATGAACGTGGAAAACCACATGAAGGAGAAATTAGACAGAAGAAGGAGAGCAGCATGGGCCGCATTTGGGCCTATTAGAAAAGCCACCGACCAAATAGCGCACCCCAGGTTTCGTGCTCAAGTTTTTGATTTGGAAGTCCTCCCAGCGCTCTGTTATGCAGCAGAGACGGAGGCTGATACTGCAACCACGTTACGCGCCATCCACATGGCACTTCAGTAAGCTTTTCTAAAATTCAGTTGCACTCACAACAGCGGTCTGTGCAGCTCAAATCTTTGAAAACTATTCCATCTTCAAGATCCAGAAATATATGCTTCGATAGCGATAGTCAGATGGGCGGTCATATAAGATCAGATAATAGATGAGCGAAAAGAACAGTGGAGTGGAATTCCAGAAAACGCAATCGTCCCTTTGGAAGACCCACCTAGACGATTGTAGACGTGTCTGTGCATCTGCACGCGCAAATGGTAACGACTTTAGGATCACAGAATGGGCCTCGCGCATGTCACAATGCTCGAGCATGACTCACCACCACGGACGACAATTTTGCGAGAGAGAAACGAATGGTAAATATGGTGGGGCTCGCACAAGCAGTGAAGACAGGGCCGTTCAAGTGTCCAAATATGCAAGCCAGTAGTAATATCGCTGGCCTTCCAGAAGTCTCAATTTCTACAATGGACATGAGACTCTCTCAATGGAGTTTACCGTAGCAAACGACCACGTCTCAATCCGTGAAACTGGCTCGGGAAGTAGCTAATCCTATGAATACAAATTTTCAACCCCTCAGATTAGGTTTAGAGGAGACAAAACGCCTCCCTACGAAAATTCGAAAGCAGAACCCCGTTCTCCCGTTTCTTTTTCAAATATATAAGCACAGCTGTAAAAAGTTGTTTGATAGAGCAGGTTCAGAACAATTGGTAGCATTCATTGAAATACCATTGAATACTCTAAGACGCCAATCAGTTCACAAAAGCTTATATGACCGTCTTTGTGCAACAAAAGATTGCAAAACATATCCTAACAGCAGAGACGGTGATTATATAAGCGTATGTACAGTTTACCAAATCTCTTGCAAAGCGCGCAGCGATGAATATATTGGCAAAATGGGTAGGCAGCTCTGTGCCATGGAAGAACACCTAGCTGACAAGCGCCATATTAGACGAAAATCCTGCTAGGAGCACATAGAGTACAGAGGTGTGACGGATTAGATTATAACACAGAAGTCACTATCTTTGCGCAAGAACATAAAACATCAGCGCGAAAAATTCTAGAAGCGTTTTGGATTAACACGACCAATCAAACTATAAACCGCATGGAAGAATGCCTCGTTGATAATCGTAATATGAGTCAGTATATAAGACTGTTTTTGATGGGTGGGGTGCATTACGAGCCTATGTGTCTCTCTTTCCGGTTATCTGCACTAGAATTACTCAGTGTAAACACATATAAAAAGCGGTATGTTGGGAGTTGATTTTGTGCTTGATGAGATTGAAATCTAGATCTCGTGAATTTTTGTAGAGAACTTATGGAGGTGTTTGACTGACTGGACTGTGGACAACTAGAACTTTCCAAGCTCTGAAGAGGGCGAACTGCCGAAACGTCAGCTGTTATAATAAAGATCAATATAACACTTCGAGTCTGGCTTAAGAAGAAAATTTTAAATCATTGAAGCATGCTGAGGTTAATAGATAGTTGGTCTTAGGAATTGTTAGACTACATTTTAGTTAATCAAACCCTCCAACTCACGCGCGAATATACAAAACAGTGCAGAATACCGATAAAAAGAAATATCAAAGCGAGAAGAGAAGCAGTTTTGGCCGAACCTGCGGCGGTTAGGAAGAGTATTCGTATTACCCACCAAAACTGCCAGGTACAAAGTCGATATGATCGCACTCCGATACCCAGACGGAATAGCTCTGACTTCTAGAATAGTAACGGAGACGATCATCCACGATTACTACTTAGATCTCTTCGATAGTCACATATTCCCATTTTCGTCCAAAATAGATAAATATGGATATTTAGCCCATTGGTTTCCCTTCCAAAGTTCAACAACTATTTCGCCGACAAAGAAGCGAGATCGTGTTATTGTTCGAAAAGGAAGATATCCGTGACATTGCCGATATGGCCTGATGTCCTTATTGACAGTCGTCTATAAAGTCTTCATTTGAGTCACTCTGGGTAAGATGAGAGAACACCAGATGGAAGAAAGTCAACTGAGCGAGAAGGGTTTTGAAATGAATTCAGTGCGATTAGATACGTCAACAGGATCTCATAACCACTGGTTTCGTGAGATTACAAGAGACCACCCTGTCTGACTTTCATTCATTCAAAAAAGTGTCCAACTTATATGCCAAATTTCTAGTATTTTACTGCATTTTCCGCAGTGTTTTGATCACTCATATATTCACATACACTGAAAAATGCAGTATGATACTAGAAATTTCGAATCATAGTATCACGATTGCTGTCAGCTCAGTTGGGTTTGTAAAGCGAAATCGCATACCTGACCAAACCTGTTAAAAAGGTTGGCGGCTGATAGCTAACATAGAGTTGTTGAAGAATGAAGAATGGCGCAAATGTGCCTCAGTGGTGTAGTGGTAGAGCACGCGTTCCCGAATAGGAGGAAACGCGGGTTCGATTCCCGCCTGAGGCCCTGATTTTGCTCACCACTCAATTCTCTTAGTTTTCTACTCAGTTGAGACAGAGGCAATCATATAAGCTGAACAACCAGTAAATCATCACCCATTGCGTAAGGTTTTTTTGTAAGATTTATAGAGATTTCACTACAAAAACATCACTAATTCACAGCGATGTTACCATTGAGATAAAGGAGGATTCAGGCAAGGCAACACCACCTCGTCAAAATTATTTACTGACACCCTCCAGAACGTCGTTTGGGCATTGCAATGAGACAACATGGAAGTGAAAATTGACGAGAAATAGACAGCGAGGCTGTCTTTGCTTTGCTTACGATATCGTTCTCCTAACATCTAACATCATCCAGAAGGAACGTTAGCCGACGTCAACTAGGTTTGTGAAAAATTGGTCTTCGACGGATAAATCATAGAAACAATATTCATAAACATACTGGTTTTATATGCCCATTCATCCTAGGCTGAATGGTTATCTCCAGATTACAGCCATATGGCTAACATGATGAAAGAATTAGTTTCAGAATCAAACAGGAGAAAGAGAGCGGTTTGGGATTCTTTCGAGAGCATCAAGGACGTAGTTAAGGAAAGAAAGAACACCACACTTCGCGCCCACGTCTTCGACTCTACCATACTTCCGCTTTAATTTTTTGATCGACTTGTCGTTGCGTAAGCAGGAAGAAACATCGCTCAGCGTTATTGAGCGCGCAGTCGAAAGGTCGATGCTATAAATATTTGGTTCCTATATGTCAAACAGAGACGAATGAATATTCGACCCCATTCGCTAGCCAAGAAACTTTTCAAAAGAGTGCTAATAATCATTCGAAAGCTTGAATCTCTAGCAAATGCTGTGCGTGGCAGTTTTTTCAAAAGACCCTTTGAAACGCTGTAAAATTAAAAATAAAATTATGTTTTACGTCAGTCGCGCAACTTAACGTATTTCGCTGGAAACACGAAAAGCACACGAACGTGTGGAAGAGATCTTTTCGTATCAAAGTTGGACGCTCAATCTGGATTTTCTTTCATAGCGGAGAAAACAATTCCTGATTGCAATAAATCCCAGGACCGACTATCTATTAACCTCGGCATAGTTTGAATAAATCAGTATCTTCTTCTGTTTAGCCGCTCCGAGGTGTTATTGATATTATTTATTGGATATCAGCGAAGCATATGACAATACAGTCAATAATGCAGCACGAATATTACAACAGTCGTGGTGGCTTACGTTTCGGCAAGGTTTGCCATCTTCAGAGCCGCTTAGATGTTTTGGGCCTTTCAATTGATCAATGAAGACCTGCCACTGTAGTCTGTGCTAATGTGAGAATTTCCTTGCTGAATTCCTGATTGAGTAACAAAAACTGTACATTCATGTGACCCGCCGAAGCGCCAATCCATCGATGGCCGCGTTGAAATTGCGGTATCCGCATCAGGCCCGCTCCTCGTATATTAGTCAAAAAACACAAAACCGACCCCACGTACCGCGCTAGCCACAATTTCAAGCTATGGAATGTTTACTGAATGCTCTTATGAGAAGTTCATCTCCAGCGAATAGGGTCGAATAGTCATTTATACGCCGTCTAATATAAAAGTACCGAGTGTCCTATATCTCATAAATGAGAGAATAAATCCAAAGTTCCTAATTAAGTCATCCACCACAAACACCGTTCTACTCTGTTGGTCCAAACACTTGATGCGTTTTTTTAGCAATGAATGGACGAAAGCTGTTTCTAAATGCATTCTTTGAGATGTCAAACGCACACCAGGCAGACCACTGATCCGATGGTAGAAGTTCTTCAAGAAAACGAGCTCCTGAAGCGAGATTTAACTGGACTACTTTCATAAGCGGCATGGAAAAAGGAATGAATTACTGGCACCTGCTCAAATCACTCGACGATCACAGGAACAACGGGTGATGCAGATGGTCTCGAATATATTATAATAAAATGCATAACCGAAATCTTCAGTGTTTCACTGTCTCTTCGCAGTGTTATGATGTTTTAAACACCTAAGAGAACTGAGTGGGCGAGCAAAAACACGACCTCAGGCGGGAGTCAAACCGCGTTTCGTCCATACCGGGGACGCGTACTACCACTACACCACCGAGGTGGCTTCGCGTCACCACTCATTCTTCACTATATCTATGATAGCTGTCAACCACCAACCTTTCACAAGTTTGGTTGGGTATATTTTCGCTCACTACTCAATTCTAGTGAATATATAATATTCGCTCGCAATATTGCCGCCATATACGACTTATAGTTCACCTTCTAGGATAATGTAAAGCTTCCTGACGAGTTTTAGAACATTGACACAATAATTGTTGATGAATCATATCTGTTTCTGAGCATGCAATCAATGCCCTCATTAGTCGCGCTCTCTTTAAGCTACTTCCAACGTCTGCTTTGTTTCTTATGAAAGTTCAATTACATGGCATAGGCGTGCTCTGAACGAAGATTCTATGTGACGGTGTTCATTCCTACTTCGATCTCTTAGTCCTCATATTCCATTCACATTACTGCCACTCATATTTCCTCAATGAGGCATTTATCTCATCGACAATGAGTTTATAGAGGGTCTTACCGTTGTCGAAACAGTTTGTTCAAATTATTATAGAATGCGTCTAATTAGCGCTTGCTCGTTCCGCTGGTTAGTGATAATAGTCGATGACATTTATCTTTTTTTGTGCTTGTATTGAGAATTACTATGGCTAGCGAAATGAGATAATTTGCGTGTAAATCGAGAGATGGGCAGCGATTACGTCACCGGCAAGGTCTAGTTCAACGATATTTCACTTTCATAACCTGTAAATACGAATGGTAAAATCTCTATTGAATTGGTGTATTAATCACTTTGCGGCACAGATTTACTCTTTGGTGAACTTCTGGCAAAGTATCAGCCCAACATACATTTTCGTAGACCTTAAAAGGTGAGGAAAACCTTGCTGTAAATCGTGTGAAGGTACTCGGAAACGTTTCCAAGTGAGGATGATTCGGCGAATTCATGTGAGAGTGTATGAAATTCAAAAACGGAACAGAATTGGAAATTAGAAGCAAAAAATACCATAAATTTAAATCAAGAGAACTTTCAAAGAAACGACATGTATTCTTTCGTGCCTTTTCTTTTTCCTTTCAACCCAAAAGTCGACTTTTAGCAGAAAAAATTTTGTAAGCATCGAAGACACGAAGAAACTTCAGTTTATTCTACTATTACTAATATTACTATTCACATATCTTGTTCTCACATTTCACTACCCGGATTCTAGCACTTCTTGTATTTGCATCGTTTCCTCGCATTCATCCTCCACAGAGGTCTTCGAAAAGATTGCTTTTTGAAAAACGTCAAGACTATTCTTCTTGTATTCTTGAGGGTAGCCGAGCTGAGGCGTTCTCATGCGTCCAGCTGAATAATTGTAAGAAAGTTTTGGTTAAGAGGATCGAACCAACGCTCATCACCTCACTTTCTGATACCGCATCACTAGCACTGCGCAACTCCACTCACTTCTACCTTAGCAAACAGCCCAGTTTTTCAATGATCAAACGGAAGAATGTGGACGAAAATTATTCAAAGAGTTGAATTCGTAAATTGCAAAGAGCAAGCTGCAAGGTGTTAGGACATTCAGAAAGCAAAAAAAAAAAAACGCTACAAATCAGATGATTAGAAAGCGACGACTATTCTGGTGAAAAACAACGAGGAAATGAAGTCCCTTTGATCCTCGTAAGTTTCGTTCCGCATCTCTTGTTTAGCAGATAAGAGGAAGACATTTTCCAAAAAAATCTATACGTAGCCCATAAATAAACGTTTTCACCCTGAGGAACGTCAATCAAAACATGATCATTGCCTTCATTTAAGGTTGCTCAGTGGGTTAAAGTCTTCAAAAAAAAAGGCTATTCCATGTGCGTATAGAAAATTCAGAAGCAATTTTCCGTTAACTAGCAGAAAAAATCGAGTGTTATGCTTTGCCGTTCGTGGACAGATGAAATTTTGAGAATGAACTCTGCGTCGATAGTCCTTTTCTCTCAAAGGTCGCAGTGTTTCCTAAATTGAGGGGCATCTCGTTAGACCATTTAGGCATAAATTTCAATTGGATCACGGCATGATTGAATTTGTGATATTGTGACCTTTATCTAATTGGATTGAAGTCATTCTCGGGAAGTTAATGTGCTTAACAATGTCGTATCTCATTTTCATGATTTTATTATAAAAACGGCGAAGCGGAATAAATAGAAAAATTGCATCAAGAGCTAAGATGTGGCTTAATGAAGTTGGTATTGACGGTAAGAGAAGCAGTATACGATTGATATATAAACGGACGATGAATCGAGGTTTGACTAATCAATATACTTCTCCTTTGATAGAAAGCAGGCTGATAAAAGCTATATTCGGTCAATGTTTCAGCGCTTTCATCTTCGCCACATTTGAAATGATTTGAGTCGATTTTCTATAGCCGTCCATTCTTGCATTATGGATCATAGCAGTAGGAATCATCGGACGAGATCCAGTGAAGTGGTGTACCACTCGAATGAAGTGTTCTTGATGACTGAGGGCAATGAACTTCAATCACTGGAGTTCTAAAAAAGGCGAGCGCAGCAGAATTTTTCTATTTAACCCTTATTTTCTTATCAGTGAATAGCTACATTGACTGCTAAGCCATGCGGATGTGAAATGAAGTTGCAATGGACAATTACTCCTTTGTCAGATAGTTTGAAAATGATGAAGGAAACAATACAGTTTAGATTAGATAGTAATGACCCTGGGACCTGAATAAATCGATGTATAGAAGATCTCAGATGCGTGTTGCACCTTGGGTTAGATCTATCTGTCAAATGATTCACCAACGACTAAGTCATACAAGGAGCTTGTAATAAAGGAGTGGATGACTAGCGAAATAGGGCAAGGTATTCTCATAGCTAGGGACGATGGAGAAAAACGATTTCAGGTACCACCGAATGATTCAATAAGAAGTACTTTATATAGAAAAATCTCTCCCTATATAGTGTTTTGGATGAAATTCAAAACAAATAAGAGGTGTCCATGATAGAAGTTGTATTTACACATAAGTGGTTTTCGAGCGCAAAATTTCTCACATACGAAATCTAATTCATGATTTATATGAATAATTCAAACGCGAAGGGGCAAAGACAGCAGAAGCTTCTTATTTCTCACAAAAAAGTTTGCAATGCGTCACAATGTCTGGGAAACTGATTGAATAGATGAGAAAAATACATTAGCGACAATTCAAGCCATAAAACATAGAGTGCTATTTTAAATCAGATGTCGAGCAAAATCACTTGAATAGAAAAAGGAGGGAGAGAATATTGTTTATGATGAACTACACAAACGATGTGCATGGCCACTGCAACCATCAATCATCATTTGAGATCGCATCAAAGCATACGTGTTGCGCATCAATTACATTGGATCGGTCGTTGGTTCGATCCCTCCACGGGGCATTCCACCTTTCATCTTACTGGTTTGGGCAAAGTGGCACGAGACCTGTCTGCGAAGACAAACAAGACTAACTTTATGCGACGGTGGGCCACAACAAATCAATGTAAGGTCAGATGTGCGTTTTGATACGAAATGGAATAGATAGCGCATCCCTTGAGGATAGCAGCATCAAAAGCACTTTTTTTCATTTTGAAATTGAATCGCTAACGTCAGTTGTTCGCTGGAAATCTTTTAGAGATGACCAAAGAAACCCACTGCCAATTTCCCCGATGATTCACGATAAATTTTTTTCAACGTAGTGTGCTGCACGGGACTATGAACTTCGCCTTGAGCAATCTCGACAGAAGTTTAAACCTTTTCGATAGCTGTTCGTGTGCTTTTTTCAATTGACAAGTTGTTCAAAATTTAGTGTTCATGTTTCTTTCTCGAATTTGACGCTGAGAGGAGGTGATAGTAGTATGCGCAAAATCCTACATCGACTTAGAATTGCGTCAATAAAACCTCCAATTCTCTAGACTCAAGAAATTGCCTCGTCTGTTAGAAGAACTGCTTCTTTAAAAAATCTGGCGGCTGTTTGTGATAAAGGCCCATAAACGCAGCTACCATATAATTCCATGGAGAATGTATTTGACCAGTATTGAACAAAAATTCGGCTTGGAAATGAATCGAGCAGAAGTGCAGGGTGCGAACAATATATGTGAAGAAGGGCTGTGTAAAAAGAAATAGTCCTTACTAAAATAAGGTGGTCGTACTACTTACACTAAATGTTTTTTTATACCAAAGAATTTCACGCATCGCTAGCTAATGTTCTTGCATTCATGTCAACACATCCACGAGCGCATGAATCAATGGCGTGAGAACACGCTCTAGCTCGCTTATCTCGGAAGTCCACGAAATACCGACTTGACCAGAAGTCAACGAAAACATGGTGAAAGTAGTATCTTCAATTAGCAGCCGATCTATGCACAAAAGCTCGAAAACCCATTGAAGGTCTATTACGAGAAAACGAAGGGATGCTAGGAGTGTTGGATCAGCGACGTACAAGTGGACGGGTCTTGACATCAAGTAGATAACTAATAGGTGACTCGATAGTAATCTACGGAGAATATCACAGTATAAATCGAAAATCCATAATGATCACCACAATATCTGTCAGCGTGAATGGGTTTAAAGTCACGCCGACTACACGGGTCAGGCCGTTGACGGTTGGCGGCTGACAGATAGATGCGCTGTAGCGTAGGAACAGTGGTGTGCGAAATGGGAGTCAGTAGTGCAACGAGTTAGAGCACGCGTTTCTGGATAGAGTGAGATATGGGTTCGAGTCCCGTCTGACACGAAAGCTTCGCGCATCACTCTACATCAAAGGGCATTTTCGAAAATTCACACCACCGCTAGAAGCGGTTAAATACAAAGAATCCCATTAAATCAAAAAACTGGCCGTATTTTAGATTTTTTCAGTCAAAAATAATGGCTGTTTTGAGACTTAAACAAACATATTGAGGTAAACTTCTCTAGTGCATATCTTTGCCAACCAGATACACCATTTGATAACTGCACTAAGGTAAAGTTCAATTTTCTGAGGTACATAAAACGTAGTTTTCATGTTTTTTCGGGGTAAAGATCGCGTAACTCGAATGTGAAAGCACCTGACCTTACAC